GACACAGAGCTGCCATCTGCCATCTCTGCTCCAATCAGCAGGAGATCAGCAGACAGATCCTTTGTTGAGCTAAATGGAGTCTGCCCTGTGTGAAAAGGACCTTTTAAAGTGGAGTTCCACTTACTCTGTAAAAAAAAAAAATAAGTCAGCAGTTACAAAAACTTTAGCTGCTGACTTTCAAAAAACAGCCACTCTCCTGTCCCACGATCCCGTGTTACCCCCGCCTCTGCCTGTCATGTATTCCAGGCACCAGCATCTTTGCAAAGCTTGCGGCTTCATAGCTGGGTGTCCACTGCGCATGCACGAGCAGTGCTGCGCTTCCTGAATGGCCCTGTAGTCTTCTTGGACCTGTCACGTGTCCCACAAGACTTCAGGGAGGGAGAGTAGGGGGACAACTTCCTCTTTTGATTGCCTAGACCAGCAATGGGCAAACTACGGCCCACGGGCCGTATACGGCCCGGCGGACCTTTTAATCCGGCCCGCGGAACTAGGCTCCCGCTAGGCTCCTCTCACAGTCCGCCCTGAAGACCGGTGTAGCATGAAAATCTGTCTCCTATGAGGATCTGTCCCCCTCGACGTATCTGCACATGTGCCGGAGATCGCCGATCGGCTGCTAATGCCTGAAACTGGCACATGAGCAGATAAGTCGAGGGGGACAGATCCTCATAGGAGACAGATTTTCATGCTACACCGGAACGGCGCGGGAACACGGCGAGAGGAACGCGCGGAGCAAAGGTAAGTGAATTGACACAGGGGGGACTTGGGGACTTAGTATGGGGGATGAATTAATATGGGGGATGAATTACTATAGGGGGGGATGAATTACTATATGGGGGATGAATTACTATATGGGGGATGAATTACTATATGGGGGATGAATTACTATGGGGGATGAATTACTATATGGGGGATGAATTACTATATGGGGGATGAATTACTATGGGGGATGAATTACTATATGGGGGATTAATTACTATGCTTACTATGGGGGAATATTACTATACTTACTATGGATGACACATACACATCATTCATCTACTCTTGGTCCGGCCCCCGGGTCCAATATATGAACCCATTGCGGCCCTCAAGTCAAAAAGTTTGCCCACCCCTGGCCTAGACGATCACAGTGGGAGTGGGTGCCTGTCAAATTTGGGTACCCCCCCGCTCCCCAAAGGTGCCAATCCTTAATGGGGAGCAGGGGATTAATCTTTAAAGCGGAACTTCCCCTTTTGGGTGGAACTTCGCTTTCAGTACCACAGAGGACCATATGGTAGTGTCAGTAATCAGTGAGCAGCAATACAGATCCATCACCTTGAATAGCACTGCCACAAACTAACTTACCTGCTATGCTGCTGTACATTGTGGTACCACGCGCATTACTTCAACGCATCGGAGGAAATGTACCCTTAGTGGGTGACTTGCTGCGTCTTTACATGCCACCTCCTGAGACCGAGAGAGTATATTACACAAATTTCTTCTTATTTTATATCATTCCACTAATGTTTGACTTGAGGCATTTTTTTCACAGAAAGGATTCTGTTTCTGACATTGAATTTATTTTTTGTGGCTAGCTTAGATGCTCCAATTAAAGTTTAGTAGAGTTCTTCTTTAATAATCCCGTTATCAGTGATTGGTTTTGTTTAAGCGTATGAATTTATGCAGAGCAGTACACTGTTGAACAGCAGTGGATTGAAATTGAAAAGTATTTTTAAAGGTAACCTGCGTTGATATGCAGATTTGTTTTCTTTTAGAAAATGCTAATTGTCTGACTTTAGCGTTTATTAAGGCTGGTTCAGAGAAAGTACTCAGACAAGGAGTTTTGACTTCACTTACCACATTTATTATCATTATTATTTATTACAGGTAATTAAATAGTTCCCTCAATTTACGCAGCACTTTATGTATATAATGTACATTTACATCAGTCTATAACCCTCAAGGAGCGTACAATCGAAATTCCCTAACGTACATTCATACATACACATACTAGATCAAATTTAAATTGGATCCAATGAACATACCAGCATGTCTTTGCAGTGTGGGAGGAAACCGGAGTACCCAGAGGAAACCCACGCAGCACAGGGAGAACATGCAAACTCCAGGCAGGTGGTGCCGTGGTTGGGATTTGAACCAGCGACCCTAGTACTGCCAAGGTGCTAACCATTTAGTTACTGTGCTGCCCGTCATTTGTCACATGCTTGTTTAAAGTCAGTGACACAAATATTGAAGCTGTAGGCAGCAAGGTGAATAGCATTTTCAAAGCTGGTCATCAATGGAACCATATACTTCTATCAGTAGTGCTCTGGGGGGGTTTTTATTGACTCTGTGATCACTTCAGACACATTGATTGCACTGGTTGGACAGATTTCTGTGCACATGGTCAATGTGTTGTGACAGTTAACATTGCGAAATTGCATTAAGAGCGGTATTTAGGTCAATGGGTTTTTTTTAGGTCACAGTTTCCTGGGGATTGGGGATTAGGTTTTCTGCTGTGAGAACAAAAGAGATACCAAACAAGCATGTCTGAAAATGTTAGCTCTTCATTTTTCAGTTACTGAAATGCTGATTTTATGATTTTACAGGATGGACAGTAGGGAAGGGGTTCATTTCTATCTAATTTGTTTATTCATTACTTATATTAAAATGTCAGACTTGTGTGCAGCCCCTAACAGAAAACACATCCTGTCATTGCGGGTTCTCATTAGCTATACAGTTTTATATGCTGAAATAGGAAAAAGTAATGTCCATTAAAGAGAATTCTGGAAAACAAGAAACTAACTGGAAATGTGTGTGGGGGCAGCCATTGCTGAGTGAAAATAATTGCCTGGCTGTTGTTGCTCTTATTGCTTTGCATCACTCATGAGGAACAAGTCAGAACTCCAGATATGCCTACCCGTTGCAGGCCAGTGACTCAAACCATCGAATAAGCAGGACTAACTGGTCACCAGCAATTCCATAGCAAGAGGACAGCAATGAAATTAGACAGTAATGTGCCTTTAAAAGTCTGGTGTCTGGATTTTCCACCTATAAGGTGGCTTGTTTGCCTTGCAGAATCTTCCAGGAGCTATCCTGGCTGAGCCGAAGTGTGTAAATGGATGCTAGTCCATTTACATCTGACTGCCTTTAGAGAAGAATGAAGGGTCCAGTTGGATCTATCTGAAAAACGGACAAGCGGGTCCAACCAGACTGCCCGTGTGAAAGGGCTGTAATCATGACACATGACTTAGCATGTGCAGAACAGGCTGTGCTGCTGCTGTGTTCAGCCAATACATGCACAGGGTGGGCCTTGAGGATTTCTATGTGCCCAACTTTGTTAAAAAAGAATTCCAGGTATGGATATTTTATGCATAGTTACATAGGTCTAGCTTGGACCAATGTAACTAAGTAGCTATGCATGTAGCTACTGTAGACACCGCTATTCCAGTGATCTCTACTTGATTACAAGACTTGTGCTGATCATCTGGCCTGCTGTATTCTGAACACAGGAGGTTGGCCACTTGGCACAGGCGCCATTGAGAGAATGCTTTGCATGAATGAATGTGTTCTGTGATTGGATGAGGTGGAGAGGTGGGCTATTGTCATTGTGCTCTCCAATTCCTTCTATCGGAGATCGCTTTGCATACATTCAGAAGATACAAAGCATTCTCTGAAAGATACCTGTAATGAGCAGCCGACCTCCTGTGTTCAAAATTCAGCAGCCCAGCCACTCAACAAAGGGCCCAGAAACTAGAGGAGATCACTGGAGTACCAGTGTCTATTTCAGAGATTTCCAGGGGCATTGGCCAAGTATGGTATCTGCATGGTTACATTGGTCCAAGATGGACTGATGTAACTATCTACTGCTTAAAATATCCATACCTGGAATTTCTATTTAAATTGCTGAAGCAGTGACAGGGTGCTACTCCCAGTTTCATGAATGGAGAACTCTGCAGATGTGTGCTGACAGCTCTGCAATAGTGTCAGTACACCTTCGTATAGGCAGCTTTGCAAAACGTAGCACATCGTCACTGTATTCAGCATCATAACCGTTGGGGACCTAGAACTCCTGTCCCACACTAAGGCTGCATGGTGTATGTCACCTCCCTCCTAACCACCTAAATGCCACCCCCTGGTTCATGCACGTCTTGGCCACCTTTACCACAGTACCTTCCACCCATTGCTCCCCCAGTTCCCACCCTCTTGGTCAAACCGCCTATCATCCTTCATTACAGTGCTCTCTACCCAAATCATCCCACCCACTACAGCGTATAACACCCAATCTACAGCTGCAGCGTTCAACTACCCACCTCACACTCCTCCCCTCTTCAAAGTGCCTTTCAACCAAATTGACCCCACTTGGGTCACAAGGCCTCCCACTCCATCAACTCCTCAACTACCACCCCCCTTCCCTTCATCACCCCCAGGTATTCTAAAGTGATGTTCTGTTTCATTGCTCTGAAGGGTCAGGTAGCCCAGTATTGCATATATTAAAACACAGCTCAAACTGGCAGGTTAAAGGCTTTTTATGTTTCTCATAGGGTCCAGTGATTTGATCTTAGTACCCATCCATTACTAGTTTTTTTTGGAAGGTGAACGAACACTGTACACCCTCCCTACCTCCCTGGTGTGCTTGCCTTCATGGATGATGAGCTGTCCGTGTCCATGCACCTGGTTTAGGAGTCCAGGGTTTTGAAATCCCCATTGTTCTTTCTGCAGCACTTCCAGATGGATCAATGCAGTGTTCTGGGCCGGCGCTAACCAATCAGAATCTAGAGCTAACTGCTCTACTGTAATCTGTCCCAGAAGCCCTGCAAAAAGAAGAGGTAGAGGAGTGGGTGTTCAAATACCTTGACCTCTACACTGGCTGTGTGGCATTGACAGTTCATCACCCACGGAGGTAAGTACTATGGGGACCAGGGGGGTGGGGAGGGTGTTGTTCATTTTTCTTTAAAGGTGAACTTGCATGTTAAATAAATTGTGCACTTTGCAAGGGTGTTAATTATTTATTTTTCACTTTTCAGGTATAACAAGTTCCTACAACAAAGAACATGTATTACTGCCTGGAGGGAACCAAATCTGGACCTTGTCCTTCACACAGCCGCTATCACAGAAGACTCCACTAGTGTTGCTTCATGGGTTTGGAGGAGGTGTTGGACTTTGGGCCCTGAATTTTGAATCTCTTTGCCAAAACAGAACTGTCTATGCTTTTGACATCTTGGGATTTGGGCGCAGTAGCAGACCTCACTTTGAAAGTGATGCTGAAAAGGCAGAGATGCAGTTTGTGCAATCTATAGAAGACTGGAGAATTGCAATGGGATTGGATCATATGATTTTATTGGGGCATAATTTGGGAGCTTTTTTAGCTTCGGTTTACTCTTTGAAATACCCTTCAAGGTAAGTTGTTTAATAAAGAATAGTATTTTCAATAGTTTTTTTTTTTTTTTAAATCAGTTTACAAAAAAATACTATCTAAATACAAGAGGTGTGTGTATTTCTTCCAGACTTGTGCAGTAGTCCAGCTTGAAACAACTCCTGCATGTTGTCTCTGTGCAGGAGTTTCCTTTAAAAGTGGTCTTTGTATCTGCCCCCTCCTATTATTTTTGTGTGTGGACCAACTGGGTCCCTCCAACAGCTCTTTCTCTCCACACAGACTATATACACCACAGTGATGAGGCTGGATGGGAGCAGTGCAACAGCAGGTGGGCGTTTATAAGCGGCCTCTGCATTCACTGCCTGTGCGCGCTCCTTGGGAACGCGCAGCAACGATCTCTGTACGGTACCTCTGTGTGAGGTCCCGATTCATGTGATCACTGATTGGCCAATCAGTGATCACAAGAACAGTAGTAAGCAAGATGTCACTTCCTGACATCATTGCTTACTACATGTGAAATCTGTGAATGATCACAGAGATCACATGGTACAAGGTTATTCACAACAGCCTTGTACCATGTGACAAGCTGTGACCAATCGCAGCCCTCACAGTATTTCTCAATGGCTGCAAGAATGCAGCCAGAGAGAAGGAGAAATGGTTGCTTTTACAACCTTTTATGGGTGTAAAAGCAATCAGTGTAAAAACAGTAAAAAAAAAAAAAAACGTATCACCCCCCACAAGTAGTACAGTGTCACTATGGTGACATTGTACTGCTAGGGTAATGGTATGTTAAAAAAAAATAATAATAATAATAATATAAAAAAATGTAGGAGAGATTTTTAAAAAAATTTATCATTTTTAGTTATAAACTCATTTGGGTTTTTTTTTTTTACTAAAAATATAGATGAATACATTTTGGCCAAGATTTATGAAGAAAGATTATTTATTTGCAAACTTTTATAAGAAAAACATTTTTTTTTTCATAATGCTTTTCATTTATATAGCAAAAAAAAATAAAAAAATCCCAGTGGTGAGTAAAACCACTAAAATAGTTTTATCTGTCTCAAAAAATGCTAAAAAATTCATATGGGTACAGTGTTGCATGACCGCGCAATTGTCATTCAAAGTGTGATAGCACTGAAAGCTGAAAATTGGCCTGGTCAGGAAGGGGGTGAAAGTGTCCGGACTTGAAGTGGTTAAACTGTTCCCGCCAATGGTACACATATATACATCCTCTTGGTGGATGGGCTTTATTGAAACATAATAATAAACACGCCCTTTGCGCTCCCAGCACAGTTACAAATGGGTATTGGAAAGCTCTCAATGCGTATTTGCGATCGGGATCTTTCCGATCATGTGACTGGTAATTGCAGCAGTCACGTGATCGGAATGCCTTCCTCCACCTCCTGGCATTTAGAACCTCATAAAGGGCTGGGAGGCAGGAACAGGTTAAATGAAAGTTTTTGTGTGGAGTTTTAAAGAATCAACTTCCCTAGTATTTACTTTTGAGTTGACAGTCCTGGACTAAAGTCCCCACTAACATATGACTGTATGGATTTCAGTGGGAATGAATCTCCATCAGAGCTCCCATCTTTGTCTGCTGCCATAAGTTCTGTCTTTTTATTATTTCTGCATCCCATCAAAAAGGCCATACGAGGTTAATGAATTCATAAACTTGTGTGCAGCAGCTTTCCTGCATAAGTCACCAAGAGGTTTCTTGACTAAAATGGTGAAAACAATATCCTATCACAATTTGTGGAGCCTTCTTTGCTGCCAGTGCTGCCCCCATGCCACTATACTGCTCAGACAAGTCATGGAGAATGTAGATCGTATCCCAGGTGGGTATCAAAACCCATTTCAGCTTTACACATCAAAGAATGACACCACAAATGGGCAAAGCTTTTTATATTTTATTTTAGCAATAATTATGTTACAGTTTATTTTTATGCTGCCATAAGACGGCACACTATAAGAAGCAGCCTCCAAATCTGCAGATTATCATTCATACTAGGGTGATTTTAAATCCATACAACCCCATGTTTGTCATTGCACAACTACACATCAATAGAAAGACCCTAGATATGCCAACATTATAAGCAGAACTCCAGGCAAAACACTTTTTTTTGCCCGTGCAGTGGGGCTGTGTCCGTACTGCATGGGTTAACTGCTTGTTTTGTGCTAAAGGGAGAGGACAGCGGAGATATACAGGTGAAACTCAAAAAATTAGAATATCGTGCAAAAGTTCATTTATTTCAGTAATGCAACTTAAAAGGTGAAACTAATATATGAGATAGACTCATTACATGCAAAGCAAGATAGTTCAAGCCGTGATTTGTCATAATTGCGATGAATATGGCTTACAGCTCATGAAAACCCCAAATCCACAATCTCAGAAAATTAGAAATATTGTGAAAAGGTGCAATATTCTAGGCTCAAAGTGTCCCACTCTAATCAGCTAATTAAGCCATAACACCTGCAAAGGGTTCCTGAGCCTTTAAATGGTCTCTCAGTCTGGGAATCACAATCATGGGAAAGACTGCTGACCTGACAGTTGTGCAGAAAACCATCATTGACACCCTCCATAAGGAGGGAAAGCCTCAAAAGGTCATTGCAAAAGAAGTTGGATGTTTCCAAAGTGCTGTATCAAAGCACATTAAGAGAAAGTTATGTGGAAGGGAAAAGTGTGGAAAAAAAGGTGTACAAGCAGCAGGGATGACCGCAGCGTGGAGAGGATTGTCAGGAAAAGGCCATTCAAAAGTGTTGGGGACTTTCACAAGGAGTGGACTGAGGCTGGAGTCAGTGCATCAAGAGCCACCACACACAGATGGATCCTGGACATGGGCTTCAAATGCCGTATTCCTCTTGTCAAGCTGCTGCTGAACACAAACAATGTCAGAAGCGTCTTACCTGGGCTAAAGAAAAACAGACCTGGTCTGTTGCTCAGTGGTCCAAAGTCCTCTTTTTCTGATGAGGGCAACTTTTGCATCTCATTTTGGAAACCAAGGACCCAGTGTATGGAGGAAGCATGGAGAGGCGCACACTGCAAGATGCTTGACGTCCAGTGTGAAGTTTCCACAGTATGTCTTGTTTTTTGGGGAGCCATGTCATCTGCTGGTGTTGGTCCACTGTGCTTCATTAAGTCCAGGGTCAACACAGCCGTCTACTAGGAGATTTTTGGAGCACTTCATGCTTCCTTCCACAGACGAGCTTTATGGGGGGATGCTTCATTTTCCAGCAGGACTTGGCACCTGCCCACACTGCCAAAAGCACCAAAACCTGGTTCAATGACCATGAGATTACTGTGCTTGTTTGGCCAGCAAACTCGCCTGACCTGAACCCCATAGAGAATCTATGGGGCAATACCAAAAGAAAGATGAAAGACATGAGACCAAACAATGCAGAAGAGCTGAAGGCTGCTATTGAAGCATCCTGGTCTTCCATAACACCTCAGCAGTGCCACAGGCTGAAAGCTTCCATGCCACGCCGCATTGAGGCAGTAATTGCTGCAAAAGGGGCCCAAACCCAAGTACTGAGTACATATGCATGCTTATACTTTTCAGAGGTCCGATATTGTTCTATGTACAATCCTTGTTTTATTGATTGCATGCATTCTAATTTTCTGAGACTGTGAATTTGGGGTCTTTTTTTTCATGAGCTGTAAGCCATAATCATCACAATTATGACAAATCAGGGCTTGAACTATCTCATATATTAGTTTTCACCTTTTAAGTTGCATTACTGAAATAAATGAACTTTTGTACGATATTCTAACTTTTCGAGTTTCACCTGTACTTTAAAGCGGAGTTTCACTCAAAAGTGGAAGCTCTGCTTATTTGCCTCCCCACCTCCACTGCCATATATTTGGCACCTTTTTGGGGAGCAGGTACATGGTTTTGAACAGGTACCCGCTCCACTTCTGGCTCAGTTCGCTACGGCGAGCCGGAAGTTTCGACCCCCCCCTCCTCCCATCCTGCAGTCTCCTGGAAAGCGCAGTGCAACTCACGCATGTGCAGTGGGCACCAGGCTGTGAAGCCGCAAGCCGGCACCGTGGAGGAAAAAAAAGGGGAGAAGGGACAGCGCGGGTGAGAACATCGCTGGACCCCGGGACAGGTAAGTGTGTGTTTATTAAAAGCTAGCAGCTATAGTTTTTGTAGCTGCTGACTTTTAATAAACACAAAAAGGACTGAAAGTACACTTTAATTGACCTGCCAATCCTTTCCACACAAGACCAGTCCCTCTGGCTCCTCGACCCCACATGCGGTCCATCAGTCTTGTAAATGGACTGTTTCCTGATGTCAGCATGCTCAAGACATAGACAGGGACAGTCCACCCACCGTGGGGGAGCCAGGGGATTGGCGGGGGTCAGGTGAGTGAGCTTTTTGCTCACGCTTAGAAAAAAAAGAGCAGTTTATCCATGCAGTTATGGCACAGCCCCACTATTTGGTGAAATAGAAAAATGTTTGCCCGGAGTTCTGCTTTAAGGGTGGAAACAAATCTATAAAACATTTTTAGCCTTTTTTAAAAATGTAAGATGTTAATCCTCCTTAAGTACAGGTATTAGATAAGTGATACTTTTATAGCCGAAGACCCATCACGTGTGTGCCTATCTAATTTAGGTTTTCAGTTTCTTACCAAGGGTTAGACTTTGGTGACTTTTGAGAGATGATCCACCTACCAGCCTACATCTTGTCCATTAAGAATGTCTTTCATATCCTCTGAAATGCTTATATGCACAGAAGCATGACATTAGGGGCAGGGGCCAGGTTCCAAGTTAAAAAATGGGTTGGAACTTTTCCTTTTCAAAACTATAAAGAGGTGAATTTAAGATTGCTATCCAAGTAATCCATCATAAATTTTAGATGTAAAATTCATTCATCAGTGAAACTAAGTGAAATGTTTGGGGGCTTTTTTTTTTCTTTTTATAAGGGTTTAAAAAGCCTTATTTGGTAGAGCCATGGGGATTTCCAGACAGACCTGACGAATGCAACAGATGATAGGCCCCATTCCTATATGGATTAAAGCTGTTGGTGCCGTTTTAAGTCCATTTATTCCTTTAGCAGGACTTCGTTTAGCAGGACCACTGGGGTCAGTAAGTTCACTCTAGATTTAGAGGAATTCTTCCTGACATTTGATGGGATTAAATACTGTCATTATGTACAGACACTCCCTTGTATTTACAGTAAGTGGTAAACCTGTGTACAGTGTATGGGGGGGGGAAGGGGTTGGGGTGTATGCTTTGCTTGTGAAAATATTTTCAAAAATGACTTGAGAGTGCAAAATAAAAGATGGACAGATAGATGCCAAGAAAATAGGTGCCACATTCCCAGCCCTGAATTTATTACCTGTAAAACTACAATTCCCTCTTTTTGCACCCTCTGTACAAAACCTCTAGCATCTTGCTTTACTCATTTTGAGCTGAGTGGGGCAATTAAAGGAGGCAATAGGGGCGGGGGGGCAATTGCATGTGTGATCTTTAGTCAGGCTCATGCAACATCAGCCACTCTGAGCATATCCCCAAGTCTGTGGGCTAACTATTCTCCAGCTATATGATGTGAACAGTTTCTGTCTTCTGTAGCACTACATATACTGAATATTTGTAGCAGTCCCCCCTATACTGAATATTGTGTACAGTCCCCCTATGACTGAATATTGTGTACAGTCCCCCATAGCTGAGTTCCTTTTTTTGTGGTCTTTTTTTTTTGTTCAAACCACTGCTGCCCTCCCATATGGAAGGAAAAATATATTTGAAATATATTTAAAAAAATATATTTTTCCCAAATATATATTGATTAATATTTGAAATGTGTGGCCATATTAAAAAAAAAAAAAAAAATATATATAATATATATATTTAATATATATATATATATATATATATATATATATATAAATGCGTTTTTGTATATATAATACAAAAAATGCATTCCAAAAATGTAGATCTGTATTTTTAAAGAGATACAGCATATATGAAATGTATTTTTAAAATATTTTTCATATATTTTGTAATCAAAACGCATATTCAACATGCAGTGTATGTATGTATGTATGTGTTCGTGTGTGTGTGTGTATATATATATATATATATATATATATATATATATATATATATACACACACAGTGGGGATCAAAAGATTTGGGCACCCCAGCTAAAAAATTTGTATTAATGTGCATAAAGAAGCCAAGGAAAGATGGAAAAATCTCCAAAAGGCATCAAATTACAGCTTAGACATTCTTATAATATGTTCAACAAAAGTTTAGATTTTATTTTCCATCATTTACACTTTCAAAATAACAGAAAAACAAAAAAATGGCGTCCTGCAAAAGTTTGGGCACCCTGCAGAGTTAATATCTTGTACTGCCCCCTTTGGCCAAGTATCACAGCTTGTAAACGCTTTTTGTAGCCATGCCAAGAGTATTTCAAGTTCTTGTTTGAGGTATCTTTGCCCATTCTTCCTTACAAAAGTCTTCCAGTTCTTTGAGATTTCTAGGCTGTCTGTCACGCACTGCTCTTTTAAGTCTATCCATAGATTTTCAATTATGTTGAGGTCAGAAAGATTGTGAAGGCCATGGCAAAAAACCTTCAGTTTAACGCCCTCTTGATGTAATTCCCCCCGTGGATTTCGAGGTGTGTTTAGGATCATTATCCATTTGTAGAAGCCATCCTCTCTTTAACTTCAGCTTTTTCACAGATGGCAATCAAGTTACCACCCAAAAATTTGCTGAAATTTTTTTAATTGAATCCATTTTTCCTTCTACTCGTGAGATGTTTCCCTGTGCCACTGGCTGCAACACAACCCCAGAGCATGATTGATCCAACCCCATGCTTAACAGTTGGACAGAGGTTCTTTTATTAAATTCTGCGCCCCTTCTTCTCCAAACGTACCTTGCTCATTCCGGGCCAAAAATTTCAATTTTAACCTCATCAGTCCACAGAACTTGTTTCCAAAATGCATCAGGGCTTGTCTATATGTTCATATTTGCAAAGTTCAAACGATGATTTTTGTGGTGAGGACGTAGAAGAGATTTTCTTCTGAATGACTCTTCCATGAAGACCATATTTGTACAAGTATCTCTTTATAATGGAATAGTGTTACCCCACAACTCCAGTGTCTGCCAGATCTTTCTGGAGGGATCGTGCAGTCAAACGTGGGTTTTGAATTGTTTTTTCTCACAATCCTGCGAGCTGTTCTGTCTGATATTTTTCTTGGTCTTCCAGAAATGTTGCTTTAACTTCCACTGTTCCTTGATGACTGCCATTTCTTAATTACATTCCGAACAGAGGATATTGACATCTGAAAACGCTTTTCTATCTTCTTATAGCCTTCTCCAGCTTTGTGAGCGTCAACTATTTTCATTTTCAGTTTTCTAGACAACTGCTTAGGAAGAAACCTTGGTGCTGATTGTTGGGGCAAGGTCAGATGAGTCTGGCATATAAAATCTTTGAGATTGACATCACCTGGTCTTCCCAGACGAATGATTGACAAGAATTCATGACACTGGCAGGTCTCAGCTTTGCAAAGGGGACAGTGCATGCTATAAATTCTGCAGGCTGCCCAAACTTTTGCAGACACCATTTTTTGTTTTCTGTTAATTTTTGAAAGTGTAAATGATGGGAAATAAAATCTACCTTTTTGTTGACATATTATAAGAATGTCTAATCTGTAATTTGATGCCTTTTGGAGATTTTTCTATCTTCCTTGGCTTCTTTATGCACATTAATACAAATTTTTTTAGCTGGGGTGCCCAAACTTTCGATCCCCACTGTATATGTATGTGATAGATAGATATATATATCAAATTTGTGTTGTTCCTCTAAAAAAATAGAAGAAAAGGGAATATTGGACTGTTCAAAAAAATAGCAGTGTTTTGTATTCTTCTTTACAAACTCAAATATTCACTATATAAACTGAAAAATGTTTGAAGATTTTGCTTTCCTTTGAATCACTTAATTAATATTTAGTTGTATAAGCACTGTTTCTGAGAACTGCTGTACATCTGTGTTGCATGGAGTCAACCAACTTTTGGCACCTGTGAACAGGTATTCCAGCCCAGGATGATTGGACTACATTCCACAGTTCTTCTCTATTTCTTGGTTTTGCCTCAGAAACTGCATTTTTGATGTCACCCCACAAGTCTTCTATTTGATTAAGATCCGGGGATTGGGCTGGCCACTCCATAACGTCAATCTTGTTGGTCTGGAACCAAGATGTTGCACGTTTACTGGTGTGTTTGGGGTCCGTTGTCTTGTTGGAACACCCATTTCAAGGGCATTTCCTCTTCAGCATAAGGCAGCATGACCTCTTCAAGTATTCTGATGTATTCAAACTGATCCATGATCCCTGGTATGCGATAAATAGGCCCAACACCGTAGTATGAGAAACATCCCCATATCATGATGCTTGTGCAACCATGCTTCACTGTCTTCACAGTGTACTGTGGCTTGAATTCAGTGTTTGGGGTCGTCTGTCTCCGGCCACTAGACCCAAAAAGAACAATCTTACTTTCATCAGTCCATAAAATGTTGTGCCATTTCTCTTTAGGCCAGTCAATGTACTCTTTGGCAAATTGTAACCTCTTCAGCACGTCTTTTTTTTCAACGGTGGGACTTTGCGGGAGCTTCTTGCAGATAGCTTGGCTTCACATAGGCGTCTTCTAATTGTAACAGTACTCACAGGGAACTTTACACCTTCTTTGATCTTCCTGGAGTTGATTGTTGGCTGAGTCCTTGCCATTTTGGCTATTCTTCTATCCATTCAAATGGTAGTTTTTGCTTTCTTCCACATCTTTCAGGTTTTGGTTGCCATTTTATATCATTTGCGATCATTTTAGCTGAGCAGCCTATCATTTTCTGCACTTCTTTATATGTTTTCCCCTCTCCAATCAACTTTTTAATCAAGGTACGCTGTTCTTCTGAACAATGTCTGGAATGACCCATTTTCCTCAGAATTTCAGACAGAAATGCACTGTAACCAGCATGTACAACGTTTGCTGCCTTCCTTCCTTAAATAAGGGCAATAATTGCCACCTGTTTTTCAAAGAATGAATGACCTCACTAATAGAACTCCACACTGCTATTATTTTGAACATGCCCCTTTCAATTAGTGATTCAATTACACAGAATCAGCAGCATGCATGTCATGACTGTTGGATTTCTATTACTCTACTACACCTGCTAGTAAATTATTTGCCATGTAGAAATATCATTTCTACCAAAAACAGTGATTGATCAGGTTAGTGATGTCTGACTGCTATTATTTTGAACACAAGTGTGTGTGTGTGTGTGTGTGTGTGTGTGTACTACAAAAATAAGACTTTTAAAAATATTTTTGTGGAGGGTTTTTTTTGTGTTGTTTTTTTCAGATAGATATGAAGTTGCAGATAGATATTTAGCATTCTTCTTGTAGCCAGTAGCTGGAGCTTTAGGCTACTTTACACATATTTAGAGGCTCCATTTACCCTATTTAAAAACAAATGCTTGTTTAGAGACCTCAACAGTTCAAGCTGATTTCTACATACCCCAAGGGACAACTCATTGCAGTGACTCATCCCTTATCAGAGTTATCAATATAAGGTCTTAGCAAGCGAGTCTCGATAACACTATTCATCACAGTATTGTCAGATTAATATATATCATATATCGCTAAATAAAAAATAAAGTTCTGATCACTTCGTTTTATACTGTAAAGAATTTCAAACTTGAACCTTTTATTCCTGTGATTTATAACTTCATCGTTAAACCATACTGTAACGTTCATATTGTTAATAACAACAGTGTACTCTCCATTCCAACCCGCTGCTCTTGGTTTTAGAATTTGCTAATCATCTGAATCAAATTTCTAAGAACATATTAAATCATGGTGGTCTGCTGAAGTAATTAAGAATAATATAATATAAAAGATTAAAAAACACAAACACCTACATTAGTTGTTTTAAATGTGTCATGCATTAAGTGAATCTACTGGTCCTCTTTGATCAACAGAAAGTCTCATTGGTCATAGATTGACAGACATGGCAAATGAATCTGCCACCTCTGTAGCATGAATCACTTGGCTTAATGCTTTTCTAGGACAGGTCTCCTTTATCAGAGCCAAGTTTAAAAAAAAAAGACAAAGTAAGGTTGACCACAGACACAGCTTCACTTTAATAACAGTTTTGTGTGATTTTGTTTTTTTTTGTTCTGAATAGAGTACATAAGCATTAGAACCTCTGTCAGGTTTTTTCTGCAGTGTGAGTTTTCATTAGGGAAATTATCTTTTTCTGTTCAGGTAAATACTCATTTAGGCTTGATTTCCTGCTATCTGTAATTCAACTTTAATACTGATGTTTATAAACTGCCATTTTTTAAATGACATGTAATGTCTGGCACACAGTATTTTGTTTGAGTAATACCTTTAATGGTTATGTAATTTTTGGCTATCTGATTCAATTTATGACACCAACTAAGCAGATTTTGTCCATTTAAGTCAGGATCACGTTGCTTGAATTGTGTGTGGATCCTCCTAGCAACCCTAGATGTTCCTAAACTCTATATATATATATATATATATATATATATATATATATATATATATATATATATATTATATATATATATATATATATATATATATATATATATATATATATATATATTATATATATATATGTGTGTGTGTGTGTTGTGTGTATGTGTGTATATATATATATATATATATTATTATATATATATATATATATATATATATTTGCAGCTTAATCATGTGCAGATTAAAAATGTGAACAGTCTTACGTGACATACTTCAGATATTACCACCCTCAATAGAAGTGATCAACAGCGACGCATTATATTAATATAATATATATATATATATATATATATATTATATATATATATATATATCACATTAAATCCGACTTATCATTTATGGTGTGTATAATTTGAAGTCACATATATTTTAATATATTGTTTTTGGAATTATTTATAATATTTTGTGCACAATATGTTGGCATTGCCGGAACATCAATGAAGACAAGAAATTATGCACTGGGATTTGATAATTAGGATTTAATGTGTTATATCTATTCTCTCTCTCTCTCTCTCTCTATATCTATCTCTCTCTCTCTCTCTATCTATATATATATATATATATATATATATATATATATATATATATAAAATGCGCCGCTGTTGATCACTACTATTCAGGGTGGTAATATTTGAAGTACATTTAACATAGCATTGAAAGTGGCAGCTAATTAGGTATAATAATAATTTGAGAGCACCAATTGGCATGATTTAGTGATCATATAACTATACATTCATTGGTCACTTTATAAAATAGTCTTAAGTGACAGTCTAAATTCATAAAAGTGAAGTCAACCGACAGATGAATCTTCAGTGGCGCTCCCAGTGATTATTCAGTGCTTTTCCCATTACCTTAAGGCAAGTAGCACATTTACTGAGCCCAATACCCCATACAGAGGTATAATTTGCTCATAGAAATATGTTTCTCAATGCAGAAAGGCGGCTGCTGCTGCTTATTTCGCATCTGCCTGTGTCTCCCTTTGCCTATCAGCCATATGAACATCCAGGTGAAACACTGCTAAGTTGCCAGCCACCAGCCAATCTCGAAAATTCCATACAAAGTGAGAAAAATGCTCTCAGTGCAGTATATAAAGACTTTTTATAATAAAAGAGAAACCCAAAACAACACAAGTATTAAAAAATCGGGCAAAATACACTCCCATAAGCAATGCTCATCACAAGACAGCAGCGTGTATATGTGTGATGTCTGTGTACTCTACTCCACCCTACGTTTTTTGTCCTGTCAAACATCATCATCAGGGGCAACATTCACTGACAGACCCATTCCTTATGAAGATTCAAGCTGACAAACCCTTCTAAGGAGAAATTGTTGAACCCATATGATATCGGAAATCACAATCAAGCGAGTGGGTCTGTCAGTGTATCCAGACCCTGATGATGTCTGGAAGAAACTTGTAGGGTGGAGGTGAGTACATTGATGTCACACAGATGCATACTGCTGTCTCATGGGGAGCAGCAGCATTCATGTGAGTGTATTTTGCCAGCTTTTTGGAATACTTCTGTGTTGTTTGGGTCTTTTTTTCGTGTTATAATAAAGCCCGTATATACAGCACTGAGAGCCCTTTTCTCACTTTGCATTGTATTTGGGAGATTGGCTGGCGGCTTGGGGTAGTGGTGTCCGATCCAGTGACTGAGCAGTGTTTCCCCTGGATGTTCGTGTGGCTGACAGGCAAAGGAGACACAGGCAGATGAGAAACAAGCAGCAGCAGTCTTTATGCAGGTGGATGTATATTTCTATGTGGGATATTTGTTTCGGTAAATGTGTTATTTGCCTTAAGATAACTGGAGTCGCGCTGGTTAATCACTGGGAGTGCCACTCACCTTGGATGTTGGAAACATCACTGGAAAATATATATTGAAGATTCATTTGTTGGGGGACTTCACTTTTGATGAATTTAAACTGTCACTGAAGATTGTTCACATTTTTAATTTGCACATATGATTAAGTTGAATTATGTTGGATCCTTTTATCATTCACAAAGAATACACTGACTATTTTTATTATGAATTCATTGTTCATACAGTATATTACTCATTTTGGCTCTGCAAATACGTATATATATTTTGTTTAGGAATTGTGTCATTTCTTTTGCGAACATACTTTTTTTTTTTAAGTTTTTCACTGAGCGCAGGCTTGTTATATATTTTACAATCCTAGGCGTTGGGTACAATCCAGTCCTTACTTCCTAGTAAATCACCACTGAGATTACAAGGTTCATCAGACGGGAATAATGTAACCTGATTTCTGAGTAAATTATGTATTTGCCTGCAAGGTGATCAGTGCAAAGTTTTATCAAAAGACTTTGACCTAATTAAGCTGCCATGCTGTCCTATTCTTCCAGTAAATGATTCTATTGCTATCTCCCCCTTGGTACACTTAGTCATTTACTATCTTTTTTTTTTTTTACTACAATCATATTTTGTAACAAATGTTTTCATGTATTGGCTTATTTTCAGTCATTAACACACATGTAAAATAAATCATATAGATTAAAGTTACATTGATCATTTAGCTACATACTCTACTTGGGTACTTATTAGAAGGCGTGAACTACCAAAAACTGCTTAATTTGGATGAACTTTGAAGAGTTGTTTTGTCCTTTTTCCTGCCACTACATTGGTAGAGCTGGGATCTTGGCTATAGGGTGGAAGATTTTCTAATTGGAGTATCTACAGAGTTTTATTAAGCAGGCATGAATTCAGAGTCCACCCTGGACTAAGTGTTTTAGATGAATGCCATTTTTTTTACTGCGGTCTGTGACCCTGCAGAACAAGATTCAGCTTCTTAAAGTGATGGCAAATCCAAAATCCTAAACGTGACACCAAAACAGGAATAGAGGAGAAATATTCTGATGAGGACACTTGTTCCAGTGACAACTTTCTTAAGAGTTAACACTCCTCACTTTGCAGAGATTTTTTCTTCACATATTCTGTTGCATTTTCAGGACAGAACTTCAGCAGACACAATATTTACAGAATTTTTAATCAAATAGAGTGGGCTTGCACACCAATGACGTCTTGTTCCAGCTTTTTTCCCCTACGACTAATCCCCGTGATGGGTGAAAAGCATAAGGGACATAAGGTGGGAGTTTGCAGTATTAGTTGTCGCAGGGGCGGACTGACAACTCATGGGCCCCCGGGCAATAGGGGATAATGGGGCCCCTGTGTCCTTGGCCCAAAATTCAAAAAAGCCTATGAAAAAGGTACCAGGGGCATCTCATGGGGCCCCCTACTGACCCTCGGGGGCAGTGCCCGAATTTCCAAATGGACAGTCCTGCCTCTGGTTGTCAGTGCAATAAACAGATCAGGAGTAAACACATCATTGGTGTGTGGCCCACTTTATTTGATTTGAGGGTTGTCGGGGAGAGTGAGCAGAGACCTGGCATAAGCACCTGACTGTTATTCATGGGACAGAAGAGGACACAGGTTGGCTTGTAAGCAGTGACATAGACTGTGATCGATGGTACTTACAGGGTAAGGGGTTTTTAAAGGGTAAGTTCACCTTTGAGAACATGTTCTAACCATTTTAAGGGTGGAACATGCTCCTGCTCCTGCAGTCTGCCCTGGATCCCTCCCCTTGCTGTGACAGCGGGCCTGGGGATCTTCTCCCTGCACCCACTGTCACAATTTGAAAAGAGCACAGCTATGCTGAGCTCTGCCCACACAGCCACGTCATTCATTTACAGAGTTATGTGAATTCATGCCTACAAGTACCATCAGCCTTTAGGGCTGACAGCTTGTAGTTCTCAAAAAATAGTAAATGCATATTTTTTTTACCTGCAAGAAAAACTGCATTTATTTTTATTTTTTTAAAAAAGGTGGACCTATCTTTTAAAGCCAGTTGGCCCATTAATGGTAAGGCATTTAAGCTATGTGTGAAATCCCCAAAACCTGCCTGAAAAACTCCCTATTTAAAGATCAGCCCGGTCATGCCAAGGATCTGGGACGCTCCGTCCATTGGGAGCTCCCCCAGTGCCATAAGTGAGCGCTCTTCTTTGTACAAAACCACACATACCCAGTGCACTCTCCCTCACCCTGTAAAACAGCTCTGAGCATAGCAAATGTATAAAGGGAATTAAAAAAAAAATAAAAAATTACCATTTCTTTTTTTTTTTTTATTAAAACAATCCCACTTTGTTCGTATGTAAATGCTGCATTAACAGATTTAACCAGCAGACGATGCTGTGAACGATTTTAGGATCCACAACTCCTGTTGAAGAAGAAAGTGGATTGGTGCTGAAGGGGGATCCCTTCCATTTTGCTCTACAAAGGGGTGTGAGGCAGTGGCTGTTTAAAAATGATTGGATCATGTGCCATTGATGTTTAATGATGTTCCAGTTTATATACCTTCACTATTCTCATAGTTTAGGATTTAGAAGGAATCACTTCATGTGCACCAAGATATATACTATATCAGGTGATGACAATGATGACTTTTTGTCTGGTAGTCACTTTTCTCTGTATTTATTAAACCAGGTTTAAGCCTTGTTCAAAGACTAAGGCCGGATTTTAAGAAGAAATATGCTTCAATGTTTGATGATGACACTGTGACAGAATACATTTACCACTGTAATGCACAGTCTCCAAGGTAAGTTTATTTTTTTACTTCTGGTAAAGTTTTTATCTGTTTAAAGGCTGTCTATGATAGGAAATGATAGCTATGTGGGTCGGAACTGTCATTGCTGAGCCTGCAGCGATTTTTATTTTTTTATTTTACGCTTGGTGCATGTGCAGCGAAAGAACCTTGCTTCCGTTCATAAGGGAAAGGCGCTGTCGTAAATCTGTAGAGTTATTTCCACATATTTAGGCCTAATAATCTCCTGTTGGTATTACCAAATGGTTTTATGTTTGTGAAAATTGGGTCATTATGAGAGTGATCTAACAGTTAACCTAATCTGCTGCATGTTTTTGAGGGGAGCAGTAAGCCAGGTCATGTTTAAAAAGCATTTAGCAAGAGTCAACAAATATTAAAATGTATGGTTGCAGCTTGTACAGTGGGGATCGAAAGTTTGGGCACCCCAGCTAAAAATGTGTATTAATGTGCATAAAGAAGCCAAGAAAAGATGGAAAAATCTCCAAAATGCATCAAATTACAGATTAGACATTCTTATAATATGTCAACAAAAGTTAGATTTTATTTCCATCATTTACACTTTCAAAATAACAGAAAACGAAAAAAATTGTGTCTGCAAAAGTTTGGGCACCCTGCAGAATTTATAGCATACACTGCCCCCCTTTGCAAAGCTGAGACCTGCCAGTGTCATGGATTGTTCTCAATCATCGTCTGGGAAGACCAGGTTATGTCAATCTCAAAGGTTTTAAATGCCCAGACTCATCTGACCTTGCCCCAACAATCAGCACTATGGGTTCTTCTAAGCAGTTGTCTAGAAAACTGAAACTGAAAATAGTTGACGCTCACAAAGCTGGAGAAGGCTATAAGAAGATAGCAAAGCGTTTTCAGATGTCAATATCCTCTGTTCGGAATGTAATTAAGAAATGGCAGTCATCAGGAACAATGGAAGCTAAAGCAAGATCTGGAAGACCAAGAAAAATATCAGACAGAACAGCTCGCAGGATTGTGAGAAAAACAATTCAAAACCCACGTTTGACTGCAGGATCCCTCCAGAAAGATCTGGCAGACACTGGAGTTGTGGTACACTATTCCACTATAAAGAGATACTTGTACAAATATGGTCTTCATGGAAGAGTCATCAGAAGAAAATCTCTTCTACGTCCTCACCACAAAAATCATCGTTTGAACTTTGCAAATGAACATATAGACAAGCCTGATGCATTTTGGAAACAAGTTCTGTGGACGATGAGGTTAAAATTGAACTTTTTGGCCGGAATGAGCAAAGGTACGTTTGGAGAAGAAGGGGCACAGAATTTAATGAAAAGAACCTCTGTCCAACTGTTAAGCATGGGGTTGGATCAATCATGCTTTGGGGGTTGTGTTGCAGCCAGTGGCACAGGGAACATCTCACGAGTAGAAGGAAAAAAATGGATTCAATAAAATTTCAGCAAACTTTGGATGGTAACTTGATGCCATCTGGGAAAAAAGCTGAAGTTAAAGAGAGGATTGCTTCTACAAATGGATAATGATCCTAAACACACCTCGAAATCCACGGGGGATTACATCAAGAGGCGTAAACTGAAGGTTTTGCCATGGCCTTTACAATCTCCTGACCTCAACATAATTGAAAATCTATGGATAGACCTTAAAAGAGCAGTGCGTGACAGACAGCCCAGAAATCTCAAAGAACTGGAAGACTTTTGTAAGGAAGAATGGGCAAAGATACCTCAAACAAGAATTGAAAGACTTTTGGCTGGCTACAAAAAGCGTTTACAAGCTGTGATACTTGCCAAAGGGGGCAGTACAGGATATTAACTCTGCAGGGTGCCCAAACTTTTGCAGACACCATTTTTTTGCTGTTATTTTGAAAGTGTAAATGATTTAAAATCTAACTTTTGTTGACATATTATAAGAATGTCTAATCTGTAATTTGATGCCTTTTGGAGATTTTTCCATCTTTCCTTGGCTTCTTTATGCACATTAATACAAATTTTTAGCTGGGGTGCCCAAACTTTCGATCCCCACTGTATGTGAGATTTCGTTTTAATTCGTTAAAATATTTGTGTACAAACCTTTCCAAAAAAAAAAAAAAAGACAGAGTCACAAAGATTTCTTATGACAAGGGTGGTAATTTTTTCTGCTTCTCAAAGCTTGCTAAAGAATCCCAAATAATCTGAATTGGAGCTTCAGGCACACCGCTTAATACAGATAAAAAAAATTATTACGAAAAAACTTTCCTGCCAAAGGATTCGGATATCCATCCATCCAATTTTTAGAAATACTAATTATTATTATTTATTTGTTTTTAAGTTCATTTTCGATCACTTTCTTTATGCTTTATTTTCTTCCTGGTTGCAGTGGTGAGACAGCATTCAGAGCCATGACAATCCCGTATGGTTGGGCTCAAAGACCAATGGTGCGTATTGACAAGATGCATACAAACATTCCAATCACAGTCATTTACGGAGCACGGTCCTGTATTGATGGGAATTCGGGAAGCACTATTAAGTCACTGCGACCAAATTCGTATGTGAAAACAGTTGTAAGTATTTGTATGGAATGCAATCTGCTTCTTATGGATGTGATGATTTAGAACAGGGGTCTTCAAACTTTAGGAACAAAGGGCCAGATTACTGTCCCCCAGACTTTAGGAGGGCGGGACTGTGGCTAGTGAGACAATAGACAATGCTCAAACGTCGGTGGGAGTAGACATTGTCATAGACATGGTCAGTAGTTGAAAATGGTAAAGGAATAATGCCCCATCATTGGTATCAGTGGAAGGAATAGTGCCCTATTGCTGGTGTCAATGCAAGAAATGTTGCCTCATTGTTGGTGACAGTGGAAAGAATAGCTCTTCATACCAGTGGGAGCAACAGAGTCTCGATCAGTGATAGGAACAGTGCCCCAAGGACCAGATAAAGTAGGGTGTGCAAAAGGGCATCATCTGGCCCACTGGCTACACTTTGGAGACCACTGATTTAGACTATGGAACGTGCACAATCTTTGCCTATTGATCATCCCCATTTTGTCTGCCATGTTGCAATTGGAAGCTCCTCCTAGGCACTGCTCAATAAGTTTCATCCACCAGCATTATTGCTTTGAACTTCTACTTGCATTACTCATACCTCCCAACTTTTTGAGATGGGAATGAGGGACACCTATTAGCAAACGTATGTAGGTCTAGGACACACCCTTAAAGGATAATTATCGAAAAATATAATCAGTTAAACCCACAAGTGCTTGTTTTTACCACTACTATTCCTTATACTGGCTTTTGAAATTTACAAATGCAGCAATTTCAAAAAAGTGTTTAGCAGTGCTAAACACTTTTCCAAATTTTAAAGATAAAAAGTTCATTTTATATACATCTATATAGATCAGACCAAAATTAGGGATAAATTAGAAGGAAAGGGACAGAGGGACTTTGTTCCAAATCAGGGACAGTCCCTCAAAATTGGGGACAGTTGGGAGCTATGGCGTTACCTGCACCAGTCAACCAGTTGCTATCCCTTAACATTTCTGGTCTTCATGGGAGTCTGAGTAGTGAACACTGGATATATACAGCTAAACCACCTCTTCTTTTACCTCTCTTGGGGTGAGGGAAAAGGACCATTGAGAATATTTATTCTTAGTACTGGATAGTTAAAGGATCCGGGCACCTCAAAAACTGCAGGACAACTGTACTGGAGAATAACTACAAGAGCCCCATGGTCTCTAACACAGGTGGGGAATACACATGGCTATGCTTTGGTCACATGAGGATGTACACTGAACTTCTGTATGAATTAGGATTTCAGTTTACTTCTATAATCAAGCCACACAGCGCAGGTAACCATGTATTTATCATTGTTATCCCTATCCTGGGATAACACCCATTCCACTTTGGTGGATCAAGTCCATCTCTCAAATCCATTATTACCTGGTGTGTAGTAAGAGTTTCATCTAGGATTCACCAAAATGTAATGGTTAATTTCTAGGTGGATGCAGGTACATGCTTGCACCACCAGCTTTTTGTAAAATTCTTGGACTATACTGGAGGAATATCCCAGCATTGCAGCCTTCATTTAGTCATATGACAAACCATGTGATCTCAAAAATGTACTGTATTTAAACTAACACATGCCACTCTAGCACTGTAATTTGTGTTGCCCATTCAGCTTTTTTAAAGAATATGTAAGCCCTCATCTTGTTAAACAACCCATTCAGTTTAAAATAGAAATTAAAGGAAAAACATTTATGTATAGATATAAAAAAAAAAAAGTATTTATTTTTTTTTTATAAGCAGTCACATTCCCTCTGTTCTCAGTTGCAAAAGGAGCTCAGGGAGGAAAAACATCAACACACTGATATTCCCTATTGAATGGCTGTGCAAGCAGGGGGTGTCAGCGGGAGTCTGATCATTGGAGGAGAGTGGGCGGAGTTCCAGTACAGCCAGAAAACTAACCACGTTGTGTTCTCTAGTGTGGTCTGTTTTTAATAGGAACGCAGAGGGACTGGCAGGAACACCAGAGATTTTACACAAAAGAAGCAATACAAAGAAAACAGGAAACTTTCAGACCAGTACATGGTACAGCAGGAATATGAAATGTTGGGTTTACATATTCTTTAAAGTGATTACTGTGTGGTAACCAATCCAGAGTCAAGAAGCTCTGTCCAGTGGTGACACAAATGACAGCAAAACAGTGACATATCTTCTAGCTAAAAATACAAATACACCTTTTCTTTCCAATAATCTATATCAAATACCCATTCAGAAGTGTCCACAATGTCCTTAATCACAATGTATATACAATTCCATATACTAAAGTCTTTTCTTCCTCCAAGATGAATGTCTCTCTTTATTTAATCACCGTGAAGTTCCAGATATTCTGTGTACCTCAAAAAAACATAAACTCAAAATAGTGTAATACCCTGGGTAAATATCAATATGTGCCACTCATCGTGAATCATGCAAACCGCATAACTTGTGCACAACACACGTGAAAAAAAAAAATTATAAAATATATTTATATCTATGTATATTAACAAAAACATTATAATATACAATGATTAATCCTGCAAATGTGAATCCACACTATTTGTGAAACACTGCAACAAACAACAGTGACTCACTCCAGTAATGTGTATAAACACACTGAAAATCAAACAGTGAACACTGTTACACCACTCTATCCAACATCACAATATACCAGTCCAACTCGTGTAACAGTGAATAATCACCCTATATAAGTATCAGAAGGGCATATCAAAAATATACAGGATGGCAGCATTCTCCAGGGTCCAAGTTATTCCTGAGATTTCTCCTCCATTCTCTTCATGGAATAAATCAGGGATTTTAGAGATGATGGATCCCTTGAGAAAAAGTCCAGGAAGTGACGAAACGCGTTGGAACACGTGATGCCTGACGCACCTACATTTACCGGAAGTGCAATCGTGGCCATTTTGGAAGTGGAATATGTGTTTGTTCCCTTGCCTAACACAAGCTTTTTAAGCTGTCTCTGCCATTGGGAGTTGTCATCTTCGAATTTTAATGTAAGTTGTGAATAAATATTACTATATTTTACAATCCATCATCTCTAAAATCCCTGATTTATTCCATGAGGAGAATGGAGGAGAAATCTCAGGAATAACGTGGACCCTGGAGAATCTGCATCCTGTATTTGTGATATGCCCTTCTGATACTTATATGGGTAATTATTCACTGTTACACGAGTTGGAGTGGTATATTGCCTGATTTTGGATAGAGTGGTGTAACAGTGTGATCACTGTTTGATTTGGTGTGTTTTATACACATTACTGGAGTGAGTCACTGTTGTTTGCTTGCAGTGTTCACAAATAGTGTGGATTCACATTTGCAGGATTAATCATTGTATATTTAATGTTTTTTGTTAATATACATAGATATATATTTTTATATTTTTTTTTCTTCACGTGTTTGTGCACAAGTTATGCGGTTTGCATGATTCACGAGGAGTGGCACATATTGATATTTACCAAGGGTATTACACTATTTTGAGTTTGTTTTTTGGAGGTACACAGATTATCTGGAACTTCACGGTGATTAAATAAAGAGAGACATTCATTTGGAGGAAGAAAAGACTTTAGTATATGGAATTGTATATACATTGTGATTAAGGACATTGTGGACACTTCTGAATGGGTATTTGATATAGATTATTGGAAAGAAAAGGTGTATTTGTATTTTTGTTAGCTTTCAAGGGTGAAAGTGATTGCACTTTTCTTTAGGGGGGCCAACTCAATATTGTATGGATAGTTTCGTATGCTGATTGATAGATTTATATATTCTAGCCAGGTTTTGGCAATCAGTTTTACTTTGCATTGAAAAGGGCTATGCTTTAACATTGTATGAAAGCTGCAAAATGTTTCTCAAAAAAAGTTCATGAAGTACACTATATTGCCAAAAGTATTGGGACACCCTTTCCAAATCATTGGATTCAGGTTTTCCAATCACCTCCATGGCCAGAGGTGTATAAAATCAAGCACCTAGGCATGCAGACTGCTTCTACAAACATTTGTGAAAGAATGGGTCACTCTAAGGAGCTCAGTGAATTCACGCGTGGTACCGTGATAGGTTGCCACCTGTGCAAGTCCAACCGTGAAATTTCCTTGCTACGAAATATTCCATAGTCAGCTGTTTGTGGTATTATACCAAAGTGGAAGGAACTGGGAGTCATGCAGCAACTCAGCCTGTGAAGTAGTAGGACACGTAAAATGACAGAGCAGGGTCAGTGCATGGTGAAGCCACAGTGTGCAGAAGTCACCAACTGTCTGCAGAGTCAATAGCTAAAGACCTCCAAACTTTGTGTGGCCTACAGATTAGCAGAAACAGCAGTGTGTAGAGAGCTTCATGGAATGGGTTTCCATGGCCGAGCAGCTGCATCCAAGCATTACATCACCAAGTGCAATTTCAAGTGTTGGATGCAATTGTAAAGCATGCCGCCACTCTACTCTAGAGCAGTGGAAATGTGTTCACTGGAGTGACGAATCACGCTTCTCTGTCTGGCAATCCGATGGACGTGTCTGGGTTTGGCAGTTGCCAGGAGATTGTTACTTGCCTGACTGCATTGTGCCAAGTGTAAAGTTTGGTGGAGGGGGGATTATGGTGTGGGGTTGTTTTTTAGGGGTTGGGCTTGACCCCTTGATTTCAGTGAAGGGAACTCTTAAGGCGTCGGCATGCCAAGACATTTTGGACAATTTCATGCTCCCAACTTTGTGGGAACAGTTTGGGGATGGCCCCTTCCTGTTCCAACATGACTGCGCATCAGCACACAAAGCAAGGTCCATAAAGACATGTATAAGTGAGTTTGGGGAGAAGGAACTTGATTGGCCTGCACAGAGTCCTGATCTCAACCTGATTGAACACATTTGGGATGAATTAGAATGGAGACTGCGAGCCAGGCCTTCTCGTCCAACATCACTGCCTGACTGGTCAACCATTCCCGTAGACACACTCCTAAACCTTGTGGACAGCCTTCCCAGAAGAGTTGAAGCTGTTATAGCTGCAAAGGGTGGGCCAACTCAATACTGAACCCTATGGACTAAGACTGGGATGCCATTAAAGTTCATGTGCGTGTAAAGGCAATACTTTTGGCAATATAGTGTATATGTAAAGGAGGTGGTTTGGAAAAGCTATGTTCTTTAGTATATTGTATGATTTTTTTTTTTCAAGAAATTATCACCCATTCACTGAGGTGCTGGTTATACTTCTAAAAATAGCTGCAGTTTATTACTGTTGACTAATAATACACATACAGTATTACTGCTGTTGGCTAACCTTTACCCGTGCAATAATAGTTCAAAGTCCTGTTTAATTAGATTTGATTTGGTTATTGGTAAGGTTGTATTGTAGTTTACATCCAGTTGTTGTTTCATGACTAATGTCTAATGCAATCTTTAAGAGAACCAGTTACAACATCCTTTTTCAGGAATATCAACATCTAAAGTGATGCTAAACAATATATTTAAAGGAGAAGTTCAGCTTATAAGAAAAAATAATGAATGCATATTTTTTTGTGCTTTTATTATATTTTTTTGTTTGTGGGGTCTCTAAAGCATTGCACCAGCGATCAGCAGATCGCTGGTGTCATGCAGGTCTCCTGCAGACCTGTCAGTGTTTCTGTGTGCCTATACAATTCCATACCAGCAAGAAGATACTAACAGGAAGACTCCTTGAACTACCACAGTGCTTTACAGCACCGTGATAGTTCATTGAGAACTACAAGACACAAAGGTTGTCGGGAACATGTAGTGTTCTCATTCACAGAATACTGTGAAATCCACCTGTCCATATTCACTGTCAGCGGCTGTGAGAACTTAGCGATCAGCGGGCATGTGATTTGCTGAGTTCTCACCTGTAGAGCATTTAAACAACTGTAGTATCAGGCTGCAACATAAAAAAAATGTCAAAAAAGTGAAAGGGATCTGAATCTTTATGAATGCACTGCATACATGAGAACTGTTTTTTACTTGCCAAAGGATTTGTAACTCTGTGCAGTCTCTCTCGTGTAGCACGTCTAACAAAGTGTATAGCCAAATCCTTCAACAAAGTTTGGTACAGGGGATGACTGCGGACACGGTACAGGGGATGGCCACAGACTGCGAACATGGTACAGGGGATGACCACAGACTGCGGACCTTTGGGGAGCAGGTACCCGAATTTGACAGGTACCCGCTCCCACGGAGTTGTCCTCCCGCCCTGTCTTCTGGGACACGTGGCAGGTCCCAGGAGACTGCCGGACCATTCACAAAGCGCAGCGCTTCTCATGCATGCGCAGTGGGCACCCGGCTGTGAAGCCGCAAGCTGTCATAGCCGGATTCCCACAGTACAGATGCTGGTGCCAGGGAGAAAAGATGTTGAACAGGTAGGACCGAGGAGCACAGAAGAGCCGAGCGGCTGGCCCGGTATTCTAAAACGGGAATTCGCTCCATAAGAGACGCACATACATTTTTCCCCATTTTTTTGGGGGGGGGGGGGGGGGGGGGGAGTGTGTCTTATGGAGCGCAAAATACGGTACAATGCATACAAAGTAAGGTGTGTGTGTGTTTTCTTTAGCTACCCTCCGTAGGAGTATCTCCTTATCTGTCATTACTGGTTGTGAGGTACGTCACTGAGAATTGCCTTCTTTCCTCAAGTGTATATATACACAAGGCTCATTATAGTTCACATGCCACCTCCAGATAAAGGCTTTCCCATTAATAGATCAGTATATACACAACACGGTACCGAGAGCGAAGTTATTTACTCATTTGGACGTTTGAAAAGGTTTGACAGATGGCCTTAATAATTTCCTCTGCGGTCATCTCAGGCATGCTCTGAACTTTTCTTCAAGTTAATGTCTCAAAGCAGTAATTAGGCTTGATATAAACCTAGCAATTAAAAAAATTGCTCTGTATGTCCATTTTTATGATCAAAAGCTAAGTGACATACCATGACCAGTCTTTATTGAAATTTGGTTGGCTGGACTGAAATTTCCTGAACTAGGGCATGTCCAGTATCCTAGTCCAGCTGTCTGGGTAAATCACTTTTCTTCTGTTCCACCTTTCAAAAGAATGCCAACACAATGTAAAATATAATGTACTTTTGTATGTGTGTGTGTGTGTGTATATATATATATAAAATTTTAATATAGGTTTGTTTGTTTTTTTGTTTTTTTTTTAGGCAATCCGTGGTGCTGGCCATTATGTGTTTGCTGACCAGCCAGAAGATTTCAACCAAAAAGTAACCGAAATCTGTGATTCTGTGGACTAACCTGGAGATCTGGTTTTAAAGAGTCCTTTCTGGATAATTTCTCAAACAAAGTAATGCAAAGAGCTTGCAGATTGCTCCCCTACCCATCTTATCGGTGCTTTTCTTTTTAAGGACAGTTGCACACTTGAACCAGAATTGTGCCTTTTTTGTAGGAACAAATTTTAGAAATAGCACTGTACAGCTTTTAAAAGTTTTCAGAGTCTTTATATTTATATTGTTGAATTTCAAAAGAGCTATATTTACTTTTGTCATATACATAGGTATATATATATATTTACAGAGCCATATAGTATCATTTATAAGTTTTAAACTGGAATATAGGCCTTGCGCCAAACTACTCCAAGGATTTATTTATCCAGATATTTTTCGTTTGTATGACTGTGACTCCACGCATGTTGTGACAATGCTGAATTGTATGTACATTGCTGTATTTATTTTTGTATTGTTGAATAATCATTCTGTGTGTGCCAAGTACTGCATGTGAGTTGTATGCCTGGGAATCCTGAATATGTGGTGAGGTGTCTGAAATTCAGCAAGATTTGCATGAAAACACTACCAGCATTTCATATAATAGGTAACAGGTATAAATAATCACTGTAATAGGAATTTAAAATTATGACATATTTAATCCTATTTTAGTTCACTAATAAATTATTCTATTTTCTTTCTACAAACAAGTACACCAAAGTAGGGTATGTGCGTACCAAAATTTGGCTAGTTCAGCGAGAACCAGATGAATTTCGGTCCATGTGTACAGCTGTCTGTTCAACAGAAGCTAGTCGGTCATGCTGGAGGACGAGCATTCAATCAGTGCTTGCATCCAATGCCTGCAGTGCTGATCAGTGTATTCTGATGAGGAGGAAGTCCCTGCTGTCAGAATACAAAGACATAGTGGGAGAGGTTGCTGCGTCAGCATCACTTGTACTGACGCTGGGGTCTGTGACTTTTTTTTTTCAACTCCCTGGTTGAAGGGAAAAAAAAACATGCATATAACCAGCTTAACCCCTTCACGCTGCTGCCTCCCTACCCTTTAAGGGGTTTCTGATGCTGGGAGGTGGGGCGGGGTTTAGGGTCTTGTGAAAGCCGTGGATGGCTGTCATGGCAGTCACATGATCGGAAAGGTCCCGATTGCAAGGAGAGATCGGGACCTTTCTGTGGGACGCCAACACGTGCTGGGAGCGCGCTCTCAGCACATGTTTGCTTACAAATGGTACGCAAATATGCGGCCACTTGGGCGTCAAGGCCCAGCCGCCGAGAGGCCCGCATATTTGCGTACGGTCGGCGTGAAGAGGTTAAGAGTCTCCCTACTATAAAGACATTAGTTTTAGCAGCCTGAAGGGTTTCTTGTTTAATTTATACCCATGACTTACCTAGGATAGGCAAACACGGACTCCGGCTGTGACTGTGCTGCTCCAGATAAAAGCTGGCAAATTACAATTAATTTGTTCCAGTAATGAACAGGCCAGACTAATAAGGCACAGGGATTTAATACATTGGAAATGATCCCTGAATAATCCTCAGTTCAATTTACCTGGTTTACCTTACTTTGTGTTGAGTGATCTCCTAATTACTACCAGTGAGAAAGTTTAGCATGGCTCCAAAGAGATGAAGAGAAATGCACCTTGATTGCCGCCTCACTATACATTTTTATTTTCCATATGCAATCGTTTGCATGCAGTGAATGAAGTGATTACCACATAAAACGCCATACCATCATTTTCTTGTCTTGCCAGGAAATAATTGGCAATGGTACTAGGGTCCTTCTATTTGTTATGGAGTAACAAAGGTTGGAATACTTCCATGTTAACTACCCAGAGGTGTATAAAGCAATAATCAGGCAATATAATGATGAATAGGACTTACCTAGGGGATGGTAACAATTTGATTTGGAATTGCTCTTTATCAAATACAGGAGTTTTCAGAACTTTTTGGAAAACCTGTGATGGGGCCAGTCCTTCCTGAGAATTTGTAAGGCCCAAACAGTCTCCACTTGTACTTACATATAGACAATAACTAACTGTCCCATGGAGTTAGGGGACTATCAGATGTCTCATTACTCCCTTTTTTTATTTATTTTTTTCCCATTTGGGACGTCCGGCTTGATTTAAAGAAAATTTTTTTCGATCTCTTTGTGTTCTGTGATAGGTTTTGTGTCAGTTTTGCAGACAATAGACAGGTATTGATCTAATTGATCAAACATGCGTCTGTTAAAGGTATTTTAATGTTTTGAGCATGATTACATTTTCATTTGAAGGTGCTTTCAGCTCATTAAAGTGGAACTGCACTGCATCTGAGCATCACAAACAAAAAATGCTATATAATTCATTTTTAATATTCAGTGCAAACTCCTCCATCCATCCACGTCTCCATGCTGTATTTTGCTGAGAGATCATTTTGAAAAACACCCCCTTAGCATTTCTGGCCATCTGTGGCCATCTTGAGTAAGGACAGATGATTTGTGTAGCATTTACTTCCTGGAATCCACCAGCTTTTCGCTCAGGCATGGGCTGAGCTGAGAACCCTCCCGAAGAGTCCTGGGATGTATGGCATCCTTTGTCTAGGCATGGAAACCAGGCAGTAACTGAAGAAATGCAAAACAAAAGTGTAAAACAAGTAAATATGATATACCTTTCAATCAGTGTTGTTTGAGAGAGTGAAGTTCCACTTTAAGTAAAGAAAAAGGTGCAGTGGTGTAGGCACTTTTACCTAACCAATAAAGTTGATTAATTAAAAAAATGAAAAGCTTTTCTCTCTTTTCGGCCTTTATTTGGGGTGTTTTATGTTGATTTTTAGCCCTGCCTTAGTAGCTTATGGTCACTGGTAGCAAAAAAAAAAAAAAGCAGGAATTCCTTTCCCTACAGCCAGTATTTAGGTAGTGCAAGATTTTGTACCTGTTAAAATGATAGTCTGTTATAAGACAAAACAAAAAATCACATGACTATTAGTACTGTGGCCAAAAAGGATTTTTCATGTGCTTTTTGGAAGATGTTCAGATTTCGGAGTAACTCCACTTCTCATGGGAATGAACATTTATCTTCCTGGTTGTTCAACTTAAAACTGGCAACTTCAGTTTCCTGTTAAGAGGCAGTTGGAATGCAGGAAAGAACAATCTACACATTTGTGTTTTTAAACTGGAACTCCATGTATATGGCCCAGTGCAAAGATAAAATGCTTACATGTTTACCATCTACAGAATTTTTATAATTGTCGTTGCTACTGCTTGTGATTCACATCCTTTTGCTATGCTATGCAACTAAGACCCCTCTTCCTATTGCAAAGAGAAACTATCTAATTGCCCTTTGAGCATGCTTGAAGAGCAATCCCACTTTTGCAAAAAAAATAAAAAATCTCCTCTAGGTGATTAATGTACATTGTAGGGATTTTAAAACACTTTGTAGCAGATTCCTTCCTTTATGTTGCTCTAACATTTGCTCTGTGTTTTTTTCACCATGTCCTTTAAATACAGAATCTAATTGGGAGGGTCTTGTTCATTATAATCACCTGGTGCACTCTTAGTGTCCTAATGAAAAAAGCTGCAAGGTCGGCATCCAATTTAGAAGTATTTAAACCTTAACCTGTGAAATGAAATGGGTGAAAAACGAGCGCTGGATATAGATAAAAAAGCTGCTAGCATGAATAGTGAAAACCTCTAAAACCTTCTAAAAAAACCATATAAAATAAGCATGCAGGGCTGCATGCTTATTTTAAACCTTAACCTCTTTGCGCCGGTGCCTCCCGGTCCTTTAAGAGTTTCAGAAGCCGGGAGGCGGGCAGGGTTTTAGGCTCATGTGACCTCCGTAATTCACCATCGGGACCTTTCCATAAGTCACGGACATATGTGCTGGGAGCACATAGGGTGCGCTCTCTCAGCTCATATGTATTTTCTAGTTGCACGCAAATATGCGGCCGATCGGCGTCAAGGCCCAGATGCCAAGAGGCCGCATATTTGCGTGTTCTCGGCGTCAAGGGGTTAAGGAGTATTGCACCAAAACTGAACTTCCTATTGCAGGGGGGTGCCTAAAATATGACTTGCATCTTAGTGCATACTCCTGGGAAAATGTAGGGATCCAATCACACAAGCAGGAAATGACATTTCTGGGGGGATTCTGTACACCAACTGTGTACAGAATGCCTCCAGGTTGCCATATTGTGTTGAATTTTACAGAAAATGACATCATTATAGATGGAAAAGGAAAGGTCTTTTTTAATAATATTAAACTGATATTAAAGGCAATTATTTATTTATTTTTAAAAAAAATAACCAGCATGTTATACTTGCCTGCTCTGTTTAGTGGTTTTCGCACAGAGCAGCTCGATTCTCCTCTTCTTGGGTCCCCTGCTGGCACTCCTGGTCCTCCCTTCTGCAAAGTGCCCCCAGAGCAAGCAGCTTGCCATGGGGGCACCCAAGCAGGCTCGCTCCCGTCACGCTGCTCTGCATGTCCATTCACGCACAGAGCCATGTTCATTCTGCTCCCTCTTGTCTCATTGGCTGTGATTGACACCAGCGGGAGCCAATGCATGAAGGTAAAAAAACCTTGAGCCTTTACAGCCACTTTAATTTACAGCATAGCTTGTGTAGCAATTGTATATGTTATGTTTGTTTTATTTGCTGAGTATTTTTATTACAAAAGTGGAGCTGTCATTTAAAGCATAATGACATAGGAAGTTGCATAGCTGGACCAGAAAAGAAATCTTTTACCTGCATAACCTGGCAGTGTATCAGAAGTGTGTAACGTGTATGAATAGCCATTATGGATTTCAAGCCCTTTTGCAGATAAAACCACACATATGCATTTCATTTGTGTAATTAGCCATTTGCCTGGAGTTCCACTTTAAATGGACACAATGTAGGTAAAGGTTTGACTATCATTTGCACAATATGCTCTTTGGGGGGGCATTAGAGTTACTGCAAAAAGCAATACCGTATTTTGAAATTGCACATTTTTTTCTGCTACCCTGGTTAGCCATTCACGAACGTCTTAATTATTAAATGTTTGTTC